CTTTCACTTTCTCCGCATAGGTCTCTGGCACTTTTCCAGCTGCTTCCCCAGCTCTGGAACTCAGAGTGAGTCTAAGTAAGTCCATGCATAGGCCCTTTCAGAGGAAATGCCTGGGACTCCAGAAGGCCCCTGTCTCACTCAGCCACAATCCCACTTGGTTTTTACAGCCAGAATTTACAAGGACTTCTCTTCCTGGCACTACAGCCCTGAGCTGGTGGGATGGTGTCAGGCTGGGAACCCTCCTCCTGATGGGGGACCTCTGTAGTTGAGATATCCCTTCCTATTTTTATCCTCATGGTTGTGGGACAGCCTGCTCTGTGTCCTACCCCTCCTCTCAGACTCGATGTGGCTTCTTCTTTAATTTCCTAGTTATTTATGACTTCCATCCAGCTGTATTTCAGGCAGTATTGAATGATGATCGTTCTGTAGCTGAGTTGTAATTTTGATGTGGTTGTGGAATGATGCAAGTACCTTGTTCACCTAGGCCGCTATTTTGTCAGGAAGTCCCAAGTAATGCTTTTGTTTGGAAAAATAAAACTTGGCCATGCTGTTGATCTCCTGATCCCCTATTTTTTTATTTTTTTATTTTTTTTTTTTACATTTTACTGGTCCAGGCCTGGGTAAAAAAGATAAAGGGATTCCAAAGTACAGATAGGTAGTAAAAACAGTCATGGGGGCGCAAACTACAGCATAGGGAATATAGTCCATAATACTGTAATAATTACATACGGTGCCAGGGGGTCACTTCATAAATTATATAAATGTCTAACCACTATGTTGCACACCTGAAACTAATATAAAATAATATTGTCAACTGTAATTGAAAAATTATAAAAGTTAAAATTTTACTAATCCAGCATAGAACCTAAATGCTTGGGAAATATTCTCCCATATATGAAAACAACTGTTCATGTATAAAAATTAATCATAATTTAGCAAGAATTGTACAGACCACAAAGTTAGGCTATCTTGAAGTAGCAAAGAAGATGCCGTCTCCAAAGACATATGATGAATATATAATATATAGTCTGAAAGTTGAATGTGAATCTATATACTAGCAGTTCTTCCATCAGTTAGATTTCTAATGAAAATGAATAAGAATGGAATAATTCTAATGGTATGGTGGATGTACAGAGCATATCTGTGTTAGCAAAAGAGCTACATTCATACTCATATAGCATTGATGATTGGACTTCAAGAGCAAACACATCTAATGACATCAAAGACAATATGAAGCTTCCACAGCCACCCGGACAAACTTACAGATATTAATTCGATGGCATATCAAATTTGTCTTAAATCAGCAACTCATGTGGCTATCTTGATTAAAAATCACAAGGCAAAATAGCCACATGTTAAATAAAATTATGTTTTCAGGTAACAGAAAGACAAATGCAGCACAATTTTTCTTCCTTGTTAAGACACTCATTAAGCATAAACCTGAAGTACTCATAACAGAAGCCAGATTTTACAAGATGAAAGCATGGTGAGAAATGTGTTTCTGAAAACTGAAAGTCTTCAGAAGGAACAAAAATGGCATGCTTCATCCATCTTGCTTAATGAAAGAGCTCCAGTTTAAATTGCTTAAAGTAATGAATTGTGTTACTTTTTGAAACAATGTGGGTGCTGGCTTCTAGTAGTATCAAAACCAATTCTGGATAGTTTTTACATCTGTATTGATAATTTTTAAAAGCCAAGAAGGCGAGGTTGACGAATTTCTTTCAAAAGCTATATGTTACATGTAACAGACATAATAAATACTTGTTTACAATGTCTGTTTAATAAACCAACCATTTAAGTTTAAGTGAAATCAACAAAAAGGAAATAGGTATTGATACGTGATTTAGAAATTAAAGTTAGTCCTAAAATGTAAATAAAATATGGAAAAGTGTCTTAAAAATTTTTTTAATCATGTACCCAAAAGGCAACCTGGTCCCCACCCCCAGCGGTCCTGCTGGCTGTGCCTTTGTGTTGCAGGGAGCCCTTGATGGCAGTTCAAGCCCAGGCACCAGCGTCAAGTTACCTACCCGTCTCCACATTAGCCATCTCATTCTCTCCGGAACTGTTCTATGTAAGTTCCTCTCCCCTCTTCAGCACACCATGGGTGCCCTCTCCTTCTGAAAGCCCAGCTCAGTATTCATGGCCTCCATTAAAACAAAGCAAAACAAACACCCCACCTGGCTTGGAGCTATCCCCCTCTCATTGTGCATACCCACAGCATTTATGCACTCGATAGCATACAGGGCTAAACAAATGTCAGATGACTGATACAAGCATTTTCTCTTAGACTGGATGAGGAATAATCTGGGATAACAAAGAATATAAATATCATTCATAACATGTTTTGGAAAAATTACAGTCAGTAGTTCCATGATGCTAAAAATAAACATTTCTGCAGAAACAAATCCTCCCTATCAGAATTTAATTTTCACTCCAAACAAACCATTAGCTGTGATTAATGGACCAGAGCAGATCCACCACCACCACCAAGGAGCAGGGCCAGCATGAACATTTGGTCCGGAAATTCTATTCAACTGCAGAGCATAGAGCACACACTACCGACTCACCTAGTCTAATTAAACTCTTCTAAGACCGTAAATACTGTGTGTCACAAGCAAAGCCACTGAATTCCCGTCCAGAAGTGTTGCCTACCCAATTATTCCCATCTCTCCCTAGAGTTTTTACTACTGGAGTATATCTTTGAGGACCGCTGGAGATAAAATGGTTAAGTAGCCTCAAACTCAAAGAACGGGGCAGGGCCTCGGCCCTGGCAGCCTAGGGGTTCCTACCCCTCACTTGGCTCTCCACTACCTAGTAGGTTTAACTGTTTTTGGATCGTTGTTGTGTGTCCTCCTTCCTCTTTGATGCAACCTGGTGTGACCTTTTCCTTCTCACTGTTGAATGAGGACAGAGCAGTAGCCAGAGGTGACACAGAAACAGGGCAGAATTGTTTTAAGGCATTTGAATTGAGAGGATGTCTGTAGGCTTTGAGGAAAAAGCCCCTACAAAGGAAGACCCAACCTCCCCCATCAAGGCCTTCAAAAAGCTGTTATTGTCCTCACTAATGCAAGAGTATTATACTATTCATATACTATTCAACATACTGCAATTATTTTTCTCCCTTCTATCCTCAAACATTGAAAATTTCACCTTTAAGAGTTGAGTCTTTTTTAAAAAAAGATTTTTATTTATTTATTTTCAGAGACAGGGGAAGGGAGGGAGAAAGAGAGGGAGAGAAATATCGATTTATTGCCTCTCGTAGGCGCCCCGTCCAGGGACCAAACCTGCAACCCAGGCATATGCCCTGAATGAGAATTGAACTGGCAACCTTTCGCTTGTGAAATGACACCCAACCAACTGAGCCACACCAGTCAAGGCAAGTCTTCTTTAATGAAAGGGATATCCTGAGCTTCCAAAGGGAGTTTTTTAATTATAATTAAAGTAATGTTGAGAAATACTTCCTCCACTTCATTCTCTGAGGTACACTTACACAAATTATACAGTAGTGATTTCCAGTCACTGAGGCAGAGCTGGGTGTGTATATCTGACTGTGAGCAGCGCCATATAAAATTAAGTGCATTATCATTGGGAACAACAGAAAAGGAAGACTGGCATTCCAGCATCCCCCCAAACATAATGCTACCTGCCACTGAAGGGTTACATCCTGGACAGAACTGTGCATCCTTATAAAAGAAATATAAACAAAACTGGTACCAACAGAAACATCTCCTCAATCTCACCACCATGGTTTGTCTCTGATATCCCTAGCACTGGACTAAAGGATGTGAATAAAAAGGAGAAGGAGGGGGAGACTTATTTTTCCAGAGCTGTCTCGCTGTGCAACAAATTACCAGTTTGGAGGCTTAAACAAGCATTTCTTTCTCCCTTTTATAGGCTGGGAAGTCCAAGATCAGGTGCCAGCAGATCTGGTGTCTGGTGAGGGTCTACTTTCTAGCTGATAGATGGCTGTCTTTTCATCCTGTTCTCACAAGGCAGAGAGTAGAGAAGCAAGCTCTCTGGGCTCTCAGAAGGGCGCTCATTCCATTCATGAAGGCTCCACCCTCGTGACCTCATCTAACCCTCATCACCTCCCAAAAGCCCCACCTCCTAATACCATAACATTGGGATGGGAGAGAGTTTCAATATAGGAATCAAGAGGGTGGGACACAAACGTTCAGTCCATGACAGAAGCCCACGGTCAGTGAGAAAGACATTTTAGACACTAAAGGTTACAAGGTTACTAACCCATGAGATCAGCACCAGGAGAGCAATCTACCAAGTACACTGGGAGCAGAGGGCAGGGAGAAGTTAACTGCGCTTAGAGGAGGAACTCAAGTCCCAAGGATAAAATGATACTTGAACTAGATATTGGGAAAAAAAAAAAAAAAGAGCAGAAATAGACTTAAATGATAATGAGGAAAGGAATTCTTCAAACAAAAAAATGATTTTCTAAAAAAAAAAATCCTTCTTCTTCTCCTTGTCCTTCTTCTCCCTCTTCTCCTTCTTCTCCTTCTCCTCCTCCTCTTCCTCCTCTCTTTCTCTCTTTCTCTCTCTCTCTTATTGCTTGAGGTGAACAGAACCAACCTACAAATTTTATTCAGAGCTAAACTAGGCTTTTAATTAGTGTTGAGGTTTCTCTAAAAGTTATTTGTTTTCAGCTTATCATTGATTCAGAGCATCTACAAAAGTGACCTACTGAATCTGCAGAGGCAGCAGAATTTTTACAGCAGTAGTAATAATAGGATGAAACTTAATGGCTTTACTTAATAGATTACTTTTATGGCCAGTAGCCCACATGCATTCTTCAAGCTCACTAAAGGCTCTTGGAAACTTCATTTGCTGCCCCAAGCTAACAGTTCATTACCCACTTTTTAATTTTAATGTAAATTGGTAAAAATTCAAAAGCTATGCATCAGCTTTTAAACAAAACCATTTTCAGTAAATCGCTGAATATTTTCCATGAGTAATAAGAATTTTACAAGATGATTTGTTACTCTTACCTCCATGGGAAAAGCTTTGAAATTAACTGTGTGCTCAGAACCACGCTGGTTTTCTCTTCCCCAATGAAATCTAACTTCATACAGTTCAAATTCATGCCCTTGAGGCAATGGACCTCCTGATAGAACTGAAAAAAATAAAATAAATTCTATTTAATTACATCTTAAATGTATTCATCAGCACAGCAATATAACCACTGCAGACAAGTTTTGCAAAAACACTCTCATGAGCACTACAGATTAAATTCATATAGCCAAAATGAAAACTATATCACAAACTGTGAGATGAGTTTCCACTATGTGGGTTTGTCTAAAATTCTTATAATGGCCACTCAGATACAGTAGAAGTTCAAAAACTCTGAAAAACTTGGCATGATATGGATATCATTTCATTTTAACTTTGTTAATGCTATACAAAAATAAAATGCATTAGCTATACTCGCTGAGATATAAACTTAGCACTGATCAGGAGACAAAAGTATGGTGTGCGTCTCAGACTGACCAATAATTTGCTCTAGCCATATCAATAAATCAAACCTTGTTTACAGATCATCCATTTGAAGCAGTGGGCTTTCAACTAAGAGAATAGATGTAAGCCAATAAAATTACCTATGAAGAGAATTATTATGAAGCCAATCTGATTTTTCAGTGTCACATACAATGTAAACAAAATAAAATTGTGATAAAATATTAACAGTACTTAAAATATGAACATTAGTTCTAGAGGGCCCTTTCTCTATTTCTCATTTCTAGATATGACACAGAGCTTTGTCCCAAGTAAGGGCACCCTAAAAGATAATAAAAAATAAACTTGTCCAGGAACGTGTCTTGAAGAGATAAAATACTTTCTTTAGTTAAACACTCCCTGATTATCATATGGAAAAACTTGAAATGAAGTTTATTAGAAATGGCCAATTTCAATATAAACAAGGGTTGTTTGCATTTTTCTTGTAAAAACTGTTCATTCTAAATGGTATAAGCTAAGGATTACAGGTTATTTTCCCACCAAGGAGCTAACAGAATCCACCCCATTCCCATCCCCCAAGAAGGGGTCTCTCTCAAACAGGCCGGCATTGACACTCGGCTTGCCCTTGTGGAGAAAGGGGCTGTGTCCAAACTGCTCTCCTGAGGAACAGTTGCTCCTTACTCTAAAACTTAAAGGAAAAGATAGCAAATTGGTGCAACAATATATACTTGTTTGGTTGGTTCTTCATCCCATAACTTGTTCCACAAAGAATGTAAAGCTGCTCATATCAAAGTACATATAACACAGCCAGAAAGCATAAATTTGAAAAAAGAGCAAAGGTTAAATACAGAGGCAGAAAACAGATGGAGAAATGAGGCTATTGCACAGGCAAATGTCATGAAGTCCTTGCTAAAAGTGCCTGACAAATTTGCTTGTAAACTTTCTACCAGCTCAAAGAAGAAAAAGAGCTACAGTACAAATAGCAATTTTTCAAGCGCATAAATCTCACATCAAGGGGGAAGGGGTGAAATGCATGGCCTTTGGGATACTATCTTTCACAATTTTAATGTTCTTCCTCATATCTGGTTTTACTAAAATCTTAGAACAAATCAGGAAGGTGGGCATTGTCATGCCCAGGGACAGGAGAGAAAAATATGGCTGAGTGGGGCTAAGGGTGACTGCGCCGGTCACCCAGCTAGCAAGCTCCAGGAGCCTGGAGCTTGAATCTTCTGACCCAGATCTCAGGAGGATGCGGGAATGGGGAAAACCACATTGCAATATCTGCAGGCATGAACTGAAAAACAAGAAGCCCTTGAAGTCTAGATTTCTAAACTGTAGTCATATTTCCCAGGACAATAAAAAAAAATGTAAGTACATGGATCACAAAGGGTTGCAAACATCCAGAAGTGCATTGTGGGCTCACTGAATACCTTCAATAACCATCCAAGCTGTGGATGGAAGACGGTATGAAATGTTTCTGTTTCAACCAGAGCGCCAGTTTCTGAATAATCTCAAAACTCACTCCTCCTTTATCATGGCTGTCCAAACTTGGTCCTAAGGAGAACTGGGAAAGAGGCCTGGATTCTATCTACAGTGTACCCCACTTCCCAAATGAAAAAGAAGGAAAAGCTTAGAAGATTCTCACTGTACCCCTGTCTCATCATCAGAACTAGAAAACATACCCCTCGCCATGTGCAAGCACAACTGACCTGAGGTTTCAGAGGAGTGTGTTTTATAACACCCTACTTACAAAAGAAGGCAAAAAATTATTGTGAAGGGGGCTTAGCTACACATTGCTAAAGAAAAAGAGAGGGGTATTGTAAAATAAAGTTCACATGAAATGGGAAAGACGATTAAAGAATTTTTCCCAAAAACCTCCTATTGCATATACTCAGTACATTTTGCATACACACAACACATACACAGTGTCTCTAGAACTGCTACAGGGTAGTCTACAGGCACTTTCTTGTAAAAATGTATGCTATAACTAACTGATGTTCACAGTGACTTCAGGAGACCAAAAAAATAGATCCACTCTTCAAAAATACACACACACACACCCCAACCTGATCAATGCCCAGTATTCTTTAACAAGAATGAAACCCTTCATTTAAAATTTGGGGATAGAGCTTATATTTTAAATGTATAGGAAATTTTAACTCCACAAATCTATGTCTTGGTAGGGAGAAGTTCAAGGTCCACAAGAGTCCATTGATCATCTACATTGTACCAGACACTGTATTAAGTGTTTAAGATACACTGATTTTGACAAAACAGACAAAATTCCATGGTTTCATGGATCTTCTATTCTATTGGGTTGACAATGAGCACAAAGAAAAGACACATTTTGACAGGCCTGATCCCCAGAGAGAAGTGACAAAGAGGCAGCTTTCAGACAGGAATCAGGTGCTGGGGACCTTCCACTTTTGCTGCAGATGAATAATCCAAAGTTAAACCACACTAATACCATGTGGCTGTACAAAGCCATGACAAAATATTGAATTCAGAATTTTACAATGACAATGTAAAGACAAAATACTGAATTCAGAATTTTACGAGGTGCCTGGCAAATATTACTTGTTCATCCCCCAAGAGTGATGGTATTTATAGATTAAAAATACATAGTAGCTCTGTTTTATCCATTTGGCAACATCCTATTAAGGCATTTTTCTGTCTTTTTATAGCTTTTTTAAAATAATGAAACCAGTCATACCAAAAGGTGTATGTACACTCTTCCCAAATTTATGATTATCAAATTTTGCTGAGTGATACTTTGTCACTATATGGCAGTTTTATTACTTGTGATGCCATTAAGCTCAATAAATTTTTTTACAGTGAAATAACATGAGACTCACACTGATAACATGCTGCATTTCCTTAGGATAACAAACTTAGGGAAAAAATATAAAACTGATGTCATTGCTGCTGCATCCATTTTCATTAATATTCCATAATAGTCATGCCCATCAGGCTTATGAGATATAAAATGAGTTCCTTCTCCAAAACTTGAGGAACAAAACATGGTTCTGTCCAGAAAAAGTTCAGCCATTGTTAATAAAATGAGAACAGTTTATGCAACATCGATGTAACCTGGCAGCCAAGAACAGTGGCTTGGACTGTGCATGTGTGAACAATGACTACCTCGCTGTACTAGTCAGTGGGGGCAGTAGATGCCGTTGAGTGAGCATGTGTACTGTGTGGCCATTGCATTCAAAATGACTGAGTGAGAAGACCAATGAATCTGTATCAAATTCTGCATTAAGCTTGAACACTCCTTCACAGAAACTATTTGAATGGTTCAAAAGGCTTTCAGGGGTGATTAAATGAGTTCAGTGCACATAAAAGTGTGCCACAAACACTTCAAAGATGGTTGAGAAGCTGTTGAAAGTGATCCACATTCTGGAAGGCATGCAGCAAGCAGAACACCTGAGAATGTTGAACATGTACAGTCACATGGGCTGCAATCAACAAAGATCAGCCACTGAGAGTATGAGAACTAGACACTGATCTGGAGAGTCCAAAACCTACTGGGTCTTATTTGATTGATGCAGGATCTTGGCGTGAAACATGTTGTGGCAAAATTTGTTCAGCATCTTCAACCAGAGCAGAAAGAACACCATGCTGCCATTGCTAATGACTTGATTCAAACTTCTAGAAATGATCCAGATTTCCACAAGGTCACAACCAGAGATGAATCCTGGGTCTAAGGCTATCATCCAAAATAAAGGCCTAGTCATCTTAATGGAAGTTGCCTGGTTCTCCATTCCCAAAGAAGGCATAGCAAAATTACAGCAAGATCAAGACCATGTTAACTGTGTTTTTAGATTGGGAAGGTGTTGTTCATCACAAGTACACCCCTCCAGGCCAAACAATTAATAAGGAGTACCACCTCAATGTTGTTTGTTGGTTGAGAGATGCAATATGATGAAAACAGCCACAGCTGTGGGCAACTGGTGATTGGCAGCTCTATCACAACAACGCACCCACTCTGGCATCACATCTCCTGCAGTTTTTTGGTGAAACATCACATCACCCACATGACTCAACCCCTCTACAGCTCCGATTGGCACCCTGTGATTTCTGGCTTTTCCCAAAACTAAAATCACCTTTGAAAGGGAAGAGAGTTCAGACCATGGGTGAGATTCAGGAAATACAACAGGGCAGCTGATAGCAATTCCAACAAAGGACTTTTGTAGAGTGTTTCGAACAGTGGAAGAGATGCTGGGAGAGCTGTGTGAGGTCCCAAGGTGCCTACTTCGAAGGAGACTGAGGCGTCATTGTTCTACATACAATGTTCCTTGTATCTTGTAATTTCTTCAATAAATGTCTCTATTTTCATTCTATGTGGGTGGATACTTTCTGGACAGAATACACACAGATTTACCTAAATCTATCTAAGCTTCTATATCTTTTGTGGAAAACAAATTTGCCAGACAGTTCAAAGGCTGGTGTTTATCAAAGCTTAGCTCCCTCATTTCATTTGAGTTCAACACACATTTTAAGATGAACTCCATACCCTGTGCTGGGCACCGAGTTCACAAAAAGAAGGATACAGTCGTAGTGTTGGCAAGGCATGCTCAATGCTTAAGGAACTGAATTTAATAGCTTACATAAGTTGCATTAGAAGAGTAAGGCAAAGAGCACAAGGCACTAAGAAAATAT